AGGTCTTCCTAATTATTTATATATATAAATATAATATATATATACAAATATAAAGATATTGATGCAAAATAAGTTTTGCAAGACTACAACAACATTGTAGGAAGTGTGTCATCTTAAGATTTATGCTGTGATAAGCTATACATATTCTTATATATGTTTTTGAACAACAAAAATTATATTCATTGACTGTCTCCCATGTCCAGTGAAACTGTTTAATATGTTGATATTTGGGGCAAAATGTTTATGATCCAAGTTTTTCTAGTTTTGGAAAAGGTTAACTTTAAAAATAGTTTTTTATACTGAGAAAAAAGTTAAATATTAGGCTTATATATCTGGTGACTTTCAGTAAAAGATTCTGACTGATATTTAGCAACAATATTAATTTACATCAAAATAATAGAATAAAATAATTACAAAGGCAAAAATTGTTTTAGTAGAACAAGCACCCATACTTCAATGTAGTGATTAATGCCCTTAAATATATTTACTATAGAATAAGCATGACTACAGTTTTATAATCCTGTGAATGCAACCACTAAATTCTACATAGGTAGACATTTTTTGGAATATAAATTATTCGGAATAGTCCCATAAATAGTAGTGAATACTTTTTTTATAAAGCATTAAAAAAACAACTAGAAAAACTTCTTTTTAGGTAGGGTAGGTATATGGAAATGACAACAAGGACATAAACTCTCCAAAAAAAACTTACCCTAAAAGAGTTATATTTTAAAAAAGAAAAAAAACACACACAACATAATAAATGGGTAGAATTAACCCGCCTTGGAAATAACACACCATAAACACACTGGTGACAAAATATTTGTAAATTCTACAATTTTTCCAAAAGTTACTCGAGTATAAGGAAGGAAATGTGTCAATAGTATAAATGTATAGCTATAGAAGGATCAGACATATCATGCTGTTTGAAATAACTAATCAAGGTAATTCTAGGTTATATTGTGGTAAATTAATCCCCAAATCTCAGCTTTAAAAAGTTAGATTTTTATCTCACTCACACAAAATGGGTTGTAAGTCTAACAGCTATCCAGGGCAATACTTGGGGATGCAACACTCACTCAATACTCAGGCAATGCTCATGTTGTGATTGTGCCAATTTCTCCTGTGTCCTCCACACTTGCTTCCAAAATGAAAGAGAAAGATGAAGGAGATACATTTATGCTTTTCTGACTTGGTCCTGAAGTGACAGCATTTTTGCTCACATTGCACTGAAATAAACAAGGAACATAGCTCCAAACTAATTGTAAAGGTTGCTAGGATGTTAATTAGCCCATGAATATTCAATGATTATTAACAGTCTCTATCACAGAGGCTGCTTATTATCTACACTAATAAAAGAGAAACATGTAAAATGGTTGTCACTCCACAACACCCACCAGCCAATCAGGATGAGTATGCAAATTAACCCAACAAAGATGGTGGGTTAATTTACCTACACAGGCATGTAGCAAAGACTGAAAGCTCCAGCTGGAGTGAAGACTGAAGATGACTGAAGACTGAAGAGGCTTGGCTGCTCCGCTGTGGCCAGAACAAAGGCCTGGGTCCGGGTGCTGGAGAACAACCGGTGCCAGCAGCCAGGGGAAGGAAGGCCTATTGTGTGAATCTTCATGCAACAGGCCTCCAGCATTATAATAATTGTTATTAAAATGTAGCTTTAAAAAACAACTGGTTCCTTAGTGTGAATTATCCCTTAGCTACTGGTCAACTCTGCATAAACTTGGGGGGAAAACTAAGATGTTCAAGTTTAAGAACTAGAATCTGGAGTTTCATAAAACTGACTTACTATATGAGACTTTTGGAATGTAAACTCATATGCCCAACAGTTCTCTTTCTGACTTGCTTATGAATTCAACAGTATAATAATATGCTATTTGGAAAATGGTGCTACAGAATCCTCAATATTTATGAATTATTCATATATTTACAAACTTTCTTTCTGAAAACAGTTTCATCCATCTGATTTTGACAACACAATTCTACCTAAAATTGGCATTATTTATTAGCAAATAATCAACTGGGAACCAAACTTGGTTCTCCTTACAGAAAAGTAAATAATTGGTTTCACATATTGTATTAGGGATACAGAAAATATTAAAGAATAATTTTGTGTGGCTTCAAAAGCCTATATTTATTACAGCTTGCTTATAAAAATGTCCATATTGTCCTTTGGCCTTCTTTCTATGCTTACTATAGAGGTGTATGATTTTCTATTAATGAATTTAAAGTCAATAGAAAGCATATGAAATATTCCCATCCATGTTAATGTGAATTATGTTTTTATAGTGACTATAAGCTGGTCTACTTACCATTTTTTGTTTTTAATATTTTTCCTGAAAGCAGACATTAAAGTTGATACCAGGCACCAGGCAACTGTGATAAGTGTTTACAATAAAAACAAATAATAAAAATTCTCTACATGTAAGTAGATAAAGAATGGCCTTGTCATTTATATGTAATTATATAAAATATGTATCTTCATATCCAGTCAGAGAATAACAATTTGAGTTCAATAAATACAACCTAGATCTTCCTTTTTGAATGCAACAATTTGTTTAAAAAAGCCTCTTCCATATCCAATAAAATTGTTGTCGTAGCTAATATTAAGTGTGTGCATACTAAGTGCCAGTCACTATACTAAAATGAGTATTAACTCACTTCACACATTAGTATCTTCACATTAGAGATGAAAAAAGTGGAGAGAGATAAAATAATAATCCTACTGCAATGCATATTCTTAATGTATGTGTATTTCTATCTGCATGAGTATTTCTCTTAAGCAATTCTAAGAAACTCCTCAGTGACAGCGAAGCTCATCTCTCGGACACTGTTTTTCAAACTTTGTTTTAAAATGTCTAAACCCATTTTTATGGCATGTACAATTAATTTATGTGGAAACTAGTGAATGATAGAGGAATACCTCTGGCAGAACTCAACTTTCTCTTACCTACTCTGGTGGATCCTGTTTCACTGTTTAGAGATGAATTTTTTGAAAAATCTACATTAATTCTAAGAAAGGACTTTAGTGAATTATCTCTAAAAAAAAGTAAAGAAGCAAGTTTTTCTGCTGAAGACAAATATAAAATTATAGTAATAGATAAAAATAAAATAGTGCATACACATTAACTACAGGTATTTCTTTAAGAAGCCACTCAACTTTAAAACAGCCAAATTAGTATGGCTTTAGAAGACCCTGTCACCAAGAAAATCTAGTTTCCCTTTATTTTTTCTCTAAATATTGCTACAAAAATTTACTTAATTTAAATATATCCACATTATAGCTTGTACTTTGAGTAATTTAGGATTAAAATAATTACAAAATAGCCTTAAGTATTCAAAAATTCCTTGAAGATATATCAATAAAATAAATTAAAGCTATTATCCCATAATAGGCTAGAAAGCAGTTTATAAAGCAGTTTTTGAGAAAAAAAAAGTGACTAATAGAGATTGTAAGCCCAGTATGAAACTATATAAAATCTGCCTTTTACAAAATCCATTCTCCTTTTGATTTCTTTGATATTTTTGACTTAAGGCACAAACTCCTGAATATGCTGGATAATTTACAGATGTGAAAATAAATAAAGTGTGTGTTGATCCACTCATCATATTATCACAGCCGAATCATAAATTTCAGTTAATATTTTGAAGTCTATCATTTTAATAATGTTTCACCTGTCCATGAATATCTTTCCCTCTTCCTTTCACTGTGTCCTAACCAAAACTGTATCCAAGATGTGTACACTTTTGATAATTATAAAAGCATTGCTAGAAAATATTAGATTGGTAACACTATAAATATATGATAAATATATCAAAGTAGCACTCAACAGTGCCCAGTAACACTGCTACACTTTTTGCTCAGTTTAATGCCCCAATCTTCACAGCAGTGATTCTCAAAATGTGGTTCATAGCCCAGCAATAACTGCATCAATTTTGAACTCATTGCAAATGCAAATTACTGGTTTCAATCAGATGTATTAAATCACAAATTCTATGCCTGGAATCCAGCAGTCTATGTTTTAATCCCATGTTTGCTTTCATTTTATCCCCTTTATTCACTCAGGAAATTTACAGTTTTGAATATCCTTCTTTCTCTTGAATAGTCCACGTTTCCCCCTTTACTACTGCTTTTGCACATTTTCTCTTTTCCTATATTAAAAAAGTAATAAATACCTTCTTATTACAAGCAAACTTTTATACTCACTGTATTTTTTCATCTCATTATTCAACCTGATAAAGTCTGTCTTCCATCTTCATCAAGCACTAAAATTGTTCTTGAATCTCACTCACAAGGCTCACATGAGTACCAGGGTAATTTTTAGTTTTCTAAACTATCCTGTCATTAGTTGTCTGTTCCTTCCTTCTGAAATCATCATCTTTTAAAATTTCTGGAGACTTTCAGACAACTAAAAGAAAACATAAAGGAACAATTGGACTGGGCAGTCCCAACATTAATGTGTGAGTTCTTTTAAAATCAGTGGTAATTGAGGCCATGATTGTTGTGAGATTGCCCAAAGAAGAAATATAGAACATAGAAGAGTATTAATTTGAAGGATAAATCTGTGACTCATCTGCATGTTTGTGGTAATTTTAGCTGTGTATGATTCCACAGAAATTAAACAATGAGATGGGAAAAAAGTCTAAGGAACCAAAAGTGAAAAAACTCTTAAATTGAGTGGTAGGGTAGAAGAAAATGAGCCTGTACTTTAATTTGGTGGGCTCTTTGTCCTAAATTCAGCTGCTCAATTTGGAACCTAGGCACTTCAAAATCAAAAAGCAAAATTTATAATTCATCCTTCCAAATTTAGCTCTTTTCTAGTTTTATTCCTCTATCTTAGAGAATGGCACTATTCATTCCCTTCCAGAAGCTATACATGTAGGTGTTATTAATTTAACTGGCTCCCTAGAAATGATTAATTACTAACATCTGGGCTATATGCCAGGTATATTCCTCAAATCTATCCCTTCTCCATATCTGCTGTCATCAATTTGATGCAAACTACTGCTATCACTTATGTGGATAACAGACAAAGCATTCAGTCTCGTTTCCTTGTAAGGACTCTCCAATTATTTCTCCAGAATGCAACAGGTCAACATCTTTTAAGAACATAACTTACCATATTATCTATCTCATGGCCACTAGATTGGGAAGATATACAAAGAAATCCTTAAGAAGGGTTCTCTACAGCTAAGAAAGATACTGAAGCAGAGAAGATCTCTCTATGTGACTATGCTCTCTCTTTAACTGCTTTATATGTTATATAAAGGAATTCTGTACATGTGGATCCTATATTCTCTTTCTCTCTCTCTCTTATAGTGCCATTATAATCATATTCTTTAATTTCATTTCTATTATATTTTTCTAAGTATCTGATTTATCTTTTAAAAAACAAGTCTCCCAAAACTTCCGCTTATGACATTGATTTTTGAAGACATGCTCTTAATTCTTGAACTGAATTTTTTTATGCAATAAATTTGTTCTTGTTAAAGCAAATTTGAATTGGGATTTTCTGTTACTTAGAACCAAGAGCATTCCAATATCTTATCTTTATTTAAATGTATTTTTATTGATTGAGAGAGAGAAACGTCGATGGCAGAGAACATCGATTGGCTGCCTCCTGCGCAACCCCACCAGGAATCAGGGATCAAGCTGGAAACCCAGGCACATGCTCTGGCCAGGAATCAAACCACTTGGTTCATAGGTCCACACTCAACCACTGAGCAACACCAGTGGGGTCAAATATCTTCTATTAACAACAAAACCTTAATTGTGTGTCCTGGTTTCCTTTCTCCCAAATGGTATTATTATTGAACTAGAGGCCCGGTGCACAAAAATTTGTGCACTCGGAGCAAAGCTCCTCCCATGTGAAAGCACCCTGACCACAAGAGGGTAGCTCCTGCATTGAACGTCTGCCCCCTGGTTGTCAGTGTGTGTCATAGTGACCAGTCATTCCCAGTCTTTCTGCTGTTAGGGTCAGTTTGCATATTATCCTTTTACTATATAGGATAGAGGCCTGGTGTATGGGTGGGGGCCGGCTGGTTTGCCCTGTAGGGTGATCTGGATCACAATGGGGATCCTGCTTGGGTGCCTGGCCAGCCTGGATGAGGGGATGATGGCTGTTGGCAGCTGGTCACATCCCCTTGAGGGTGGGGGTCCCCACTGCGGTGCCTGGCCAGTCTGGGTGAGGGGCTGAGGGTCATTTTCAGGCTGGTGGGTGAATGAAGCTCCCAACCTCTCCTTTTTTTTTCCCTTTTTCTTTTTTTATTTTGGGATTTATTTACCTTTTATGGCTGTCACTGGAACTGAGAGCCAGCTTTAGCTCTGAGGCTCAGCTCCAGCTCTGAGACCTCGGCTGCTGAAAGCAGGTATCTGGCCTTTGTTTAGCTTCTATAATTGAAACACTGTTGCAATTCCATCTCTGAGGCCCGGTTGCCTGAAAGCAGGTTTCTGGGGATTGTTTAGCTTCTATAATTGCAACATAGTTGCTTAGAGTGCAGCTCAGAGCTGGGTGGTGGCAGGCGGGGAACCTTGGCTTCCTCCATCCCTGGAGCAAGCAAGCCTTCTGTTCGCTTCAGATGCCTGGCTGCCGGCCGCCATCTTTGTTGGCAGTTAATTTGCATATCGCCCTGATTAGCCAATGGGAAGCATGTCAGAGGTATGGTTAATTACCATGTTTGTCTATTATTAGATAGGGTCTGCCCAGGGTTTCTCACTGGTCTTTGTTTGAATATTTTTTGATATTTTGCAGATTGACCTTGGCCTAGAATATGCATATCTTTTCTTTTGATATAGTTTACGATTCTCACTTATTTTTAAAGATGTGTTTCAGATATCTCCTTATACTTATGTGATGCTTCACCCAATTCTCAGACAGATTTCACTCCTTTTATTGTGATTCAGCAGCAAATATTCTACATTTCTTTACTCACAGTCAATGTTTTCTGTTTTTATTTCTAGGATATTTATTTTAATCTGTCTCCACAATGTCAGAATCTAGCACTCTGAGGTATATCAGATATTCTATCAATATCTGTAAAATGATCAACTACAAAGAAGCTACTTTTAAAATATTAAATATCTACTAAGACTATAATGGGTAACAATTACATTAAATATATGTTTGTTTTAACTCAACAAACTGACTGTTCCAAAATAATAGTGATGGCTTTAAAAATGTGGCTTTAAAAATAATGTCTCCACAAAACTGGAAAACACTCCTAATAAAAAGGCATGCTTTCCCAATCGCTGACTTTTTGAAAGAGGACAAGAACTGCTATTTGAGAATAGGGCTATAAAGGAACAAGTTAATGTTCCAATGAAAATTCCTAGGAGGCTGATACAGTCCATTAAAATGAGGGTTTTTTGGTCACTTCACTGAATTACTTCAGAGAAAACCTCAGGTCTTCAGGAATTCTTCCTGAAAACTAGAAAATTTAAAAGATCACACAGTACTATTTAAGAATTACTTCAATCATTTTTCTATAAACCTAATCACCACTTATAGTACATGTAAGAGGTTGTTGATATCCACACACACATTCTCTTTATCTAAAAACTAGAGACCTGGTGCACGAATTCGTGCAGGGGTGGGGTCCCTCTGGATGGCCTGCAGGAATCAGGCCAAAACCTGCAGTCCAATGATGCCTGCAGCTCCTACCTGCTGCTCCTGCTCATCCTGGCCCCACTGTGCCTGCCACGGGCTCATGCCTAATCAGTTCCAATCAGGAGAGGCTCACGCTGCTGCAGCAGCCCTGGTCAGCCATGAGCCCTGCATCTGGCGCCCTCCCAAGGGGAATGGCCTGTGGGATCGGGCTGAAACTAGCTCTCCAAAGTCCCCCAAAGGGGTCTCAGATTGTGAAAGGACACAGGCCAGGCTGAGGGACCTCACAGGTGCAGGGTAAGGCCAGAGAGGGACCGCAGGATGGCTCCAGGGCGTGACTGGCCCATCTTGCTCAGTCCCAATCAGCTGGACCCTCGCAGCAAGCTAACCTACCAGTTGCTATGATGTGCACTGACTGCCAGGAGGCAGACAGTCAATCAGTCAACCAGTCGCTATGACATGTACTGATCACCAGGGAGCAGATGCTCCCCAGGAGATCAGGCCTAAGCTGGCAGTCAAACATCCCTCTGGCAGCCCAAACATCCTCGGGAGTATCCACCTGTCTGTTGGTTGAAACAGGATTCCAGGAACTTCTCTATAAGAGCTGGCTCAGAAGGCAGAAACACAGTGCAGGAAAGCAGTTCAGTGCAGGAGAAAGGCAGCTTAGTGCAGGCTTCTCCATGAAGTATCATTTGTGTGAGATGCCCCTGTTTAGAAATGGTTGGTAGGCTGTGTTTTTTATTTTGATTTGTTTTTAATTTAAACCCAGTTAAGTCACCAGGAGCCCTTCTTCTTAGGTCCATATGTTTAAAGTTATAAATACCTAAGCAACATTTTTTTTTCTTCAATCAACATGGCTTCCAACACAAATTTGACTACAGTAAATGATACAATAATTTTATTATTCCAGGTAGAAGTTGAGATGATTCACTGTTGTTGTTTTTTCCAATTAATTGTCATGCAAGTGATGATACATCTCTGGTATCAAGTTAATTATGTACTTCTTTTCAATTTAATTTCCAAGTGTATGAATACTATTTAATGGGTTGTTTGTTTTGTTCTATCACTTTATTTCCCTCCTTTCTCCCTTATATAATAATCTGCTCTGTTACATGTTAATATAGGGCAAGTTTATAGCGCATATACTTATGCATGCAATGCTATGTGGTGATTATATTACATATGTATGTCATGTATATATAGTGCATATATACATTATATACCCAAATAACATATATACATGCAATAATTATAGTTTACCAACTACAATTATCTTCCTAAAAACAATGTACAATCCTTAAGGACAGAATCTGTGGATTTTATTGTTTACACATATACACTGGATATCACACATCTCAGTGCTAATGCATCATAGATATCTGTTTAATCTGAACAAGGGATTATTCTACCAGAGTTTCTTATTATGATATTGAACAAAAAAAAATCAACTACAGCTTTACACATAGCTCATGTCTACCCTAATTATGCTTTATTTTATCTTTTCATAATTATAAAGGGAATTAAAGATGCCCTTTTATTATAAGAATTTTTATTGTTTTGCTTCCAGCAGAAAATCAAATTAAATGACTAGATCAACTTAAAATTCTATGTACAAAATACAGACATATTGAATAATCTGACTAGGGAAAATTTTTTTAACCAACATAATTTTTATAGCAACAATAATTTAGAAATTTGTAGAATACCTGAAAGATCTTGATTTAAATATCTATGAGCAATATCAGAACAACGTATAGATAAATACAGATGATATATAGATATAGATATAGATACATAGATATATAGCTATAGATGTATATATACATATAGATTTACATAGGAATAAGTATAGGTATAGGTAGATCTCCATACACTAGTTGGCTACCCATCTTGTTCATTCCTATCAAAACAGTGATTAATATGGCACTGAAAAATATCCTTCTAGCCTAGGCATTTTTAGTACTTATTTCCTGTGGTAGATATGACCACCTTGATTTTGGTAGTTAAGCATTGTAACTTAGGTCTCTGCTATGCTGGGAACTAATGATTACATTAAAATCAAGAAAGCCATACCTAGCTAGCAAACCAAGTGGCCATATTTCTCCTGAAGAGGAGAGCAATCAGAGGTCTATTCAAGGATGCAGGTACTGCTCTTGTTTGTGAATTTTGAATGCCTCGGTGAAGGTACTTCTTCTCTCCCTTCATATAGAACGTAGTGGGTATGCGGTCATACATCATGACTACATTTTTATTATATGCTGAGGCCTTTAGATTCCTTCCTTCATAGCTTACCAGTAAGCTCTAGAACCTAAGCTCATTAAGTACAGGCCACACTGACTCCAAGTTTCAGTCGACCAAATAATAAACCACTTGGCTCACCTCCGGGACACAAGGTAATGCATTAAGTTCAGAATCGCTAGTAAGTTCACTAACATAAATGGTATCTGTTTCCTCCTTTGTTCATCTAATTTATTCTCCATGCTTCTGTAGGTAAACTAGCTAAGTCTTAAAATTCTTTTGGTGTTTAGGTGTTTTCTCCTGGGTCATGGTGTGTTTTTTTCCTGTTTGGGACATTATGAGATTTGACACAAGTTATGGATCTAATGGTAAAAAGGAGTGACTGTGATATGTCTTGAGAAGAACTTGCATCATCCCTTCTTAAGGACAAAAGATTTGCAAGCAAAGGAAGTCCAGTCTCCTCACACAGAGAAGGGCAATCTACTTCTACTGACAAGTGCAGCTCAGAATGACATAGGTGATAAAGACTGTTCATTTCATCTAGGACGACCAGATGTTCCCATTACAAATTTTAGTCTTTACCAATCTATAACTTCAACATAGAAAACTGGTGATACTGAATTCTCTAACATTTCAACTCAGCATGTCACACAATCATATTTTTTGCCTTTGATTGCTGTCTTTACTTTTTGTCTTTGATTTTTCAGCAATATCAAACCTGTAGCCTCTCAAAGAAGTGCTCTGTTTTCATATTGTGACTTGAGCTGTGAGTTAAGGGGCTTGAGCTTGTTATTTGTTTTCTATAAGTTCTGCAGTATACACACAGAAGAACCTACTTCACACCATAGTTCTCAGAGGTTCATGTAGTTGTCACTATTGCCACAGGAGTCAAGTGAACAGACACTGGACTCCAAGGCCCTTGTGTTAACTGGCACTTCACCACAACCAAACACTAATAATAGCTTGATTAAGTGTAATGCCACAGAATGTCCTGGATTATTAGTATCCCATTTCTAATTAGCAAGGAACTCAGCAATGTATCAAAACCCAAAACACAATAAAAGCAATTCAAAAATCCCATCTCTGTGGGACCATTATTATTACCAATTT